CCTGGCCTTACTACTAGTAACAAGAAGCTACTAGGGGCTCCTGGCCTCACTACTAGGAGCAAGGACGCTACTAGGGGCTCCTGGCCTTACTACCAGCAGCAAGGACGCTACTAGGAGCTTGTGGCCTTACTACAAGAAGCGACTAGGGGCTCCTGGCCTTACTACCAGCAGCAAGGACGCTACTAGGGGCTCCTGGCCTTACTAATAGTAACAAGAAGCGACTAGGGGCTCCTGGCCTTACTACTAGGATCAAGGACACTACTAGGGGCTTCTGGCCTTACTACTAGGAGCAAGGACGCTACTAGGGGCTCCTGGCCTTACTACTAGTAACAAGAAGCTACTAGGGGCTCCTGGCCTTACTACTAGGAGCAAGGACGCTACTAGGGGCTCCTGGCCTTACTACCAGCAGCAAGGACGCTACTAGGGGCTCCTGGCCTTACTAATAGTAACAAGAAGCGACTAGGGGCTCCTGGCCTTACTACCAGCAGCAAGGACGCTACTAGGGGGCTCCTGGCTTTACTAATAGTAACAAGAAGCGACTAGGGGCTCCTGGCCTTACTACCAGCAGCAAGGACGCTACTAGGGGCTCCTGGCCTTACTAATAGTAACAAGAAGCGACTAGGGGCTCCTGGCCTTGCTACCAGCAGCAAGGATGCTACTAGGGGCTCCTGGCCTTCTACTAGCAACAGGGGCTCCTGGCCTTCTACTAGCAACAAGAAGCTACTATAGTAACAAGGTGCATCGCTACTAGTAGCAAACATCGAAGCCGACGGAGCCGATTGAGCCTGACATCGGAAGCGCTCACCGATGCCCAGGTGCTTTACGAAGCTCAGGGAGAGGAAGGTGCGCACGCCACCTTGGTGTGACTGGCCGAAGTCGTGGGTTGAGCGCGTGGTGGTCAGGTCAGGACTTGTTTAAAGGCACACGGGGGACCATACGGCAACCCAGAATTCATTGAAACACAATATGATATATATATATAGGCTTTGGGCTTTGGATTAGTTACAGATCTCCATTCAAGAGTCTACATGAAGTCGTGAAACAGGCCTTTTGAGGTCATGTATGCTAGTCACCAAGGGCTACGCGTCATTCTACTAGTGCAGTTCTTCTGAGTCATTGACGCAGTCACTCGGCAAGTTTGGCTAAGTGCCAGTCGGTTTGAATGGGGCGGGGCCTTTTGTTTGCATCGGGCCGAGCGCATCAGTCCACCAGAGACTTCAATCTGGTTGATCCAGGTTCTGAGATGTTCTTTTCGGTCTTCCTTTCGGTTAATATCAACAACAACTCTAGGCAGCCTGGCACATCATTCATTGCAAGCTATTAAATACAAGTTCACGTTGCATTTACATGTTTCTTTCAATATGTTTCACATGGTTTCCACTGAGAAACTCAGCTGGTCGACTGGAATGGGCCATGCGGAGGCCCGGCGCAAAAGTTCGGGTGCCCAGGTTCGCAGCGGCGACTGAGAGATGATCAATGTTGCTGCCAGGTTATTTGGGAAGGGGCCCTTGGTTTTTGCTTAAGGGGATTATGGGTAAGTCCCTTTTCTAGGTGTTACTTTCTGTTCCAGGTTCCTTGAGCAAATCCAAGGGGCCTTCTCACCAAGGCGTTTCTTATTTTTACATCAGGTCCATCACATCAGCTTGGCATGTATGCAGTAAAGTAGACTGGAAGAAGAAATTGTGAAATGGCACTCCGTTGAGAAGCGAAACCTCCCAGCCAAGGATGTCGTAACTCCGGAACCAAGGCCTATACGAGGTCTTTCGACCTCGCCGGACTCCATATTTCCTTGAAACTTGAAAGGTATGTGGATTCCTAGGTGATTGTGTGGCTGTGCGATGTGTCTTTATCCCTATAGGTGCATGGCTTGTTGGCTTTCCCAGGGTGTGATGTTCAGTTGTTTGCGTCGTTCCTCGAAGATTCCAAGGTGAGGCGGAGGCCTCGGCCCCGTTGGGAAGCCCGGTGGACGAATTTGGCAGGGTTGGGATGTTGCTTCGTGGCTGGCTAGATGTGTGGTTTGGAACATACATCCCTCTATCTTCCATCCCTCATGGTTTAAACTTAAACCACCAACCAGGCGATGGTTGATGGCCACGACATGGCGGTTATATACTGTGATTAATAGATAGATAGATTCTGATTTCTTTGGCGAAGGAATTGGTGCATCAAGGAACTGCACATGATCCATCAGTTCCGTAGTCCCTCATTCTGCGACGCTTCAGAGCTCCCAGGAGCCAACGAACCGTCCTACTGAATCGGTTTAAAGGAAGGTGCTTTGTGTCCATGATGTTTCAGCGGCAAAACCTGCGATGAGATATTTGATGATGAGACCTTTGACGAGCTTGGTGGATTGTTGTGTCTCTTCATCTTCATGAAACGGTTTTGAGGTGAGTCCAGAACAACGATGAACAACGTATGAAACACGGGTTTGGCTCCTAATTGTTCAATGCCCTGTCGCCTCGAGACCAGGCTGGCATTGTTTGGGTGATCGAACACCGATCAGTCTTGAGACGTTTCCAAGCTCCCAAGGCGTTGTGCTGCATTGCAACAGCTGCTGCAGAGATGTTACGTGCGGCCAGCAGTAGTGGGAGATAAGCAGCGTCGTTTCGGACATATCATATTAATGGACCTACCCCCCCAAAAAGAATTGTTGTGATTTTCTGCGATGTTTGGATATCAAGAGTTATATATTCAGCCGTGCTTCCATCATGCAGACGTGCATCGTGACAAGGCTGGGGGTCATGTAGATCACCAAAACCTTCGAGCCTGGAGGTCAGTTGAGGTCGGCTTATGGTTGGTGGTAGGGATGAGCAAATGCGCGTTTGCGCTAGAGCGAGCCACTTCTATGAGTGGGATCCCTCACATCCAGGGCGGGTTCCTCGATGGTTTCCACGTGTGATCAACTGTCAACAACCTGATATGTAGAGCTCGAAGATGTGAGCCGCCCTCGATTCAATCTTGAGAATGTGCAAAAACCTGGTGATGGGCCCCCAAGAAAAGCGATGCCCTGCCAGAACAGGATGAACATTTTTCAAGTGTACTTGTTTGACACGTGTTTTGTTCTTTCAAGAGCTTCTTGAAAGGGAATTCCACATGTTAGCGTGACATCTATATGTTTACATCTTCTCGGTCAACACTTTGTAGCAGTCGCCTGTGGGGCCAAAGCTGTTGGATTTGAAGCGACACCCCTATAGCGATGCCAAATCGATAACCCAAGCGAAGCCATCGATAATGCCAGTCCATCACTTGCGCACTTGTTTGTTTGTCTCCTTCGAGCTCGTGCTCAGTCATACATACACTTGTTTGGTTGAACCCTGCCTTAGACTAAGTACAAGAAAGCGATGCCTTCCAAGCTGAAGTCCAAAGTTGTCCAAAATAGGAAAACGATGGGCTCCCCAATCTATGGAATTTGTAATGGCGTGTGATTGAACAAGGAGTTTGACAGCCGCACATGTGTGAGTAGTCTCCTTTGTTTATGGACTTCAATATACGGTATATGCTTCTGCCATGGCCATCCTTTTGGGATGGAATGGATTGAGTGCCATACTTTTTCTAGCAAGCCATTGGCGGATTCGGCAATCGGAGCAAGTCATGGTCACATGGTCCATTCACCAGTTGAGAGCCTCAGCCCAATATGATCCTGAAGGATTCGCAGCTGATCAGGGGAACTTGTTGTAGATCCCCCACCTGTACTCCAGGGTGCGCTATCTTCTGAGGTGTGGCGAGCCTTTCTCTACTGGACAGGCAGGGGGTGTTTTTCACGTGCGGAACGGAGCTGGAAACATGTGTGAGGCGAATCAGCACTTAGTTTGTATGGTAGACATCATTATGCATCCAAAAGCAAAAGATGAAACGACGGCTCCACTCTTTGAGCCGGCCAAAGTTGTTTGCGTGGGTGCGTGAGTTGGAATGGAATTGCTTGCAACGAAGGCTCATGATTGTCAAGTCTCATAGATCCTGATCCCACTCTTCGCTCGTACAGTTGAGCTCGTTGTGCACATGCGACCTGAATGGAGTTGCTCAGACCCGACTTTTTGCTGGCTCATCGTTGTGGCTTACGCACCAGCTGGTCGAGAGAAGTCGTTGGAGACAGTGTCTCCAACTGCTCGTACCAGTACATTACATATTATAGAACATGGTCACCCCAACAAACATAACAAACTTCCCGTTTGGGTATTGGAATGAGGAAAGACTCTTGTGGAAGAGCCAATGTGTTTCTTGTAGACCAACTATAGTCTATGGAAAGAAGGATCCTGTTTGATGGATCACTGAAACCGACCTAGTTTGGATTGACGCAGAAATCCCCACCCTACCCAGCACTATCAGTTTGAGGGGTCACACTGGGAACCACCTGGTTTTGACCAAAACATACCCAAACCATCCAAAACCCCTTTTCTTGGCGCGTGTCCAGCAACAGGTTTGGGCTTTTCTCAAAGTGACTCCTTTGATACCAAGGCGGGAGCGATGCTGGATTTCTCAGACTTTGAACACAGACAGTTTGCCTTAGAGTTGATTTACTCCCCCGCAGACGGACCACATGGACCCTGAGAGATAGCAACCCGAAATGGTTTCGACCATTCTCCGAAAACCAACCCGACGTGGTTGACAGGGGGTATGTCTATGGGTCAAATGTGGTCCTCTGTAGGGGAGTAGTTGACACAACCCCATTGGAGGTGTTTGACCATGTGCAATCCTTTTGAGGCGTCCGATCCCTCAGTTGAGCGTGTCTCGTCGCATGAGATCTGAACAACCATTGAACAGGGTGTGGTGTCAGACGGGGAAAAAAGGACGGTGGAAAGACGCAAAGAAAGCTTGGTCAGGTGGCAGTTTGATGTGCGGAAATCTCAGGGACTGTGTTTTTTTCAAGCCCAATTCTTGTTTGTTCGTTGGGTCTCTTAGAGCGTCTCAGAAAACGTTGGTGAAGCTGAAGGCAGTGCCTGGCAGTGTACGGGGGTAGTTTCCCAATAATTAATATGGGTGGCACTAGTCTATTTGTTTGCGAAACCTACCAGGGGTTTGGGGTTTCCTCAATGCGACACATTTCACGTCTGGTTTTCGAGGGATTGTGGGATGATCGTCACTGCACACAGATTTCTACGGCGCTTCAAAGGTCAAAGAGTTAGACTACACTACACCGCTACAAGGCTCGGCTCAGCTTTGCAAAGAAACACCGACGCTGACATACAATATGTCTGAAGGGGTTCATGGGGCTTGCTCCGTCCTTTAAATCTGCGCCAATATTTGAAGTTCGGAGCTTTGGCTTAACTACACCCCATGTGTAACTTCCCATATGTCCGCTGGTGAGCACCGATGGAAAACAGGGATTCCCATGGTTCCTGGCATCCTGGCCCAAACCCCTCCTTGAGTTTGCACGCACTTCATTAGCACTTCATCCACAAAGAGGAAAAACGAATCCAACAATCACACTCCCGAAAACTAACATGGATCCTGAGAATCGCAGCCTCAAAGACTGTTTTCCTCTGTTAAATCTATATTCCAAACCAGTGGTTTTCAGGGTCCATGTTAGCTTTCAGCCGGGTACTGCTCCAAAAAAGGAATCAGGAACCGGCTTTCTTCCATTGTCCTCACCACCGAAGCGAAGCGCACTCCGCGCAGTTGGTGCACTCCGCCAAGCGCAGCGATGCTCGCGGTGTGCGAAGCCTGGAGGCCGGTGACGGATTTGATGAGGGACTTTGTTGCATAGAGAATTCACATATGGTCATGGGTTCACATTCAATCATTCAACATGTTTGTTTTGGGATGTTTTGGGACAACTCCAGTACTTAGAAAGCAAGAAGGTGGACACCGTTTCCAAGCCAAGCAGCCAAGCCGTGTGATTCAATGGTTCATTTGGATCTACAATCTACAATAATCTACAGCTACTTGTATCTTAGGATTGGGCCCCATAGGAACAAGAAGCTACTAGGGGCTCCTGGCCTGACGACTAGGAGCAAGAAGCTACTAGTAACAAGGGCATCACTACTAGGAACAAGAAGCTACTAGGAGCCCCTGGCCATACTACTAGTAACAAGAAGGCTAGTAGAAACAAGTGCATCGCTAGTAGTAACAAGTGCCTTACTAGTAGTAACAAGGACGCTACTAGTAACAAGAAGGCTAGTAGGTTTGTTTTCGGCTCAACCACCGAAAAGCCAGGTCCCATGTGCCCAGCTTTGTCCACCAGCAAAATACAGCCAATTCACTCGATGCCCCAGTCCATGGAACACCGAATGATATCGAATGCATTGGGACCCTGGAGCCCTAAGCAATTTGTAGAGATACTGAGATACTTCACAGCTTGCTTTGACAGATCTTGTTGTATCTTCTTGTTCTTTCCTGGAACTTGAACTTCAGTCCACAAACACCCTTCAGCGGCAACCACCCAACTGCCGACTGAAAGGACAAAATCAATCCCAGAAGGAGCCAATGATGCTACTGTATCTATGAGCCAAACAATGCGTCAAACCATGCCAAAGAAGCTCCTTTTTTGAGTTGGTAGTGTTTGTTGCCAAAATTATGGGTTCATTTGTTGGAGAATCTCGCAAGAGGTGGTCATGTGTTATTCCCTGTGTTTTTGAGGGGCTGAGCTCTTGATCCTCTAGAATTATGTGTCAAGAGATTAAGATGGCCATCTGAACAGTAGAAAGGCCATCGGCTGAAACATGATCTGGACCTGGACCCAGTATACATACACCTTAGTATATACCTTTACTCCAAATGCAAATCACCCCGAATGGGATCATCCTAAGACATCCATATAATTCACCAGCACCACGGAAGCAGTGCCATCCACAGCTTTGTTGGCAGGAGACTTTGGCACACTTCGATTTGATTAAGCCAGAGGAGGTGACCGAGCGGCCGTGCGGGGCATTTTACCCAAGCCCCAACCGAGCGGCCATGTCCAATGGGAAGATACCCCAACACATTGGTACAAACCAATCTATGATGAAGTTTGGTGGACAAGCACATGAATGGGAAGAGGAGCTGGTCTTGATCTGGTTTTGATAGTTTAACGTCCCAAGAGACCTCGTCCACCCTCCAGAATGTGGCCACAACCCTTCCTCGATGTAAGAGGTTTCCTGAAATCAAGGAATGCTGAATGAAATGAGGTTCTTTACTCACTTGAACCAATCTGAGTGTTTGGCACTCCAATCTGAGCCCCAATCTGAGCGGATCAGCTTCCAAGCTGTGCTGCCAGTGCCTCTGTCTGTTTCACGGCCAATGACGGCTTCGTTCGGTGCTCCGGGCGAAGCACCGAACGACCAAAGCGGGTGGATTCCGTCAGGACCCAAAGGATCTGAAAGGCGTCATGGAGTTGCTGCTGGAGGAGGGCTACGAGGAGCCCGGAGCCATCCGGAGGTGTTCCTTCCACTGGGCTGCCTAGCGCTCCTGTCGTGCCACTGGTGAACATCAGGTACTTGGAATGGTTTCTTTTTGCTCCAACCCCTCTTGGCCGACACTGCATGGAAACGCAGGAGCTACCGCTCGAGGCTGGCTTCTCAGGCACCTGAGGAAGGGTGTACGTCTACGATCGTCTACGTGTATCTACGTGTTGTTTAGCATAACCCGAGCCCCCAAAGCACCAGAGTGACTTAGTGTTTTGTCATTGCTTCGTCATAACCCACCACAAAGTTTATTTTGGTGCTTTCGTGCCGTTGAAGAGTTTTCTGGGCCATCGTCCAGACTTCATTCGCCGTGGCCAGATCAAGCCATTGCTGAATTCATGATGAAGAGTGCGACGTTCCACTGTCAAGATGATGCAGGGTTTGCACTGTCCAAATCTCGCTTGGCAATGGTGCCATTTCTACTCCTTCATCGGAGAGCTGTCCGGATACGCTCAAAATGCTCTCAAGAGCCAAGAGCTCTAAAAGTTGTTCCTTCATGACATGGATCAGGTGTTATCTGTTTGCATCATCCATTTCAGTCCACTTCGTTGGCATGAATGGTCGAATACTTTGTGTCCTTTTCGGGCTGCCCTTCTCCTTCCAGGCCGGGAAGGGCTGGACAAGGGGCTCGACAAGGAGATCTTGGAGTTGGACCTGGAGTTGCTGGAAGAGGACAAAACGAGTTGCTTTAGGACTTTAGGCCAAAAGTCAAGGAAACTCATGAACAAAAACATCACAAGCCTCCCTGTGAGTGGCTTGACGCTGTTGGACGCTTTATAGGAAACGGGGGGGCAGGAATCGACCGAACAGCATTCTGAAAAGGGGTCCCTTTAGGTGGAAGATATGGAGGCTTTCTTTGTAGTAACAAAAAGCTACTTGGGGCTCCTGGCCATACTACTAGGAGCAAGGACGCTACTAGGAGCCCGGGCATCGCTACTAGGAGCAAGGACGCTACTAGGAGCATTACCAGACGTTGACTGTCACATGACCTGATGCTGAAGGATCAGACGATGGAGGTCCAAGAAGATGTGCCCGAGGCCGGTCATCCGGTCAGAGCGCAGACCCTGAAATCACCGGCGTTGGGGCCCCTTGGGGGGATCCAAAACATGCCTGAAACAAGCAACCCCAATGCGCTGGAAAGAAGCAAACAAGACCAAGACCGACGGAAAGCCCGAGCCTTTGAATAAGACACACCCGAGCCTTTGAATATCCAGGTGTTTGATGTGCGCATCTACACGGAGATAGAAGCAACATGGGGCTGGGCTATAGTGTTGCGAGATGCTTGGAGCCGTGGGTCGATTGAACATCTGGAGGTACATTTACATGGTCAGTCTTCAATCTTCGACGGAACCATATACAACAAGCATCGCCCAGGGAAAGAACAACAGCCATGGCGGAATCTCTCAGTAGAGCTTGCTGGTGGTCAAGTCAATCCCTTTTTGCTCTTTCTTCCAAATCACTTCATTGGTTTGAAAAAACACAAGGACCATATCCTTATCCACCCCATCTATGGGCTCCAGGAGTGGGTCAAAAGCGATCCGAAACATGGACAGCGGACCGCGAGATGCTGCGAAGGATGAGGAGCTGATCGACTGTGAGGAAGAACTTCACATCAATTGAAGCAGCACTGACCATCATCCACATCATTTGGTGTATCAAGGTGGGCAGTGGCATCGTCAGTCGCTGCGCCGTTTGTTTGCAGTTGCAGCAGATTCCCACGAGACTCCAAGAAACTCAAGGGAGTCAGTCACCAGCTATGACGGAGTCGAGCAACTGTAATAGTGTTGATCAGTCAAGTACAAAGCACAATTTGTTTTTTTTTTTCAATTTTTCATGCAGGGAACAAATCGGAGCCAGCCTGCCAATGTGATTTTGTGGAATTGTGTCTAAGTTCCGAATTCCATACTGTTATGAAGCTGATTTATCATTTATCCTTGGAGAATAGCCGAAACACTGAAAGGAGATGGCCTTTCCTTGTCACGCAGGAACTGATCATCAAACTTCCTCGAGCTTGCCTTCGAAGCACACCAGGCGCATCCTCCATGGAACGCTGTGATTTGGCCAAACATGACCTTGTCTGGTTGATTTTGTACGTAGCAGCTTGCACCACTTTGTGGACACATATAGTATTCCAGGATTATGTTGGTCTTATCAATTCTATCTACGCCGTCTACGCCTTCGCAAAGTCTGTTGATCTTCCACGTAAAAAGAAAAGAACATGTAGTCAAAACTGTCATCAACAGATTTTACCAAAGCCATTTGGCACTCAGGCGTTGCCTCATCCAGTGTGGCTGCGAAGATGAAACCCACACCAAAGAGAAAACAAACAAACTTATCAAGGTTGTCAGAAAGTCCAAGGCTCCAAAAGCCAAGGACAAAGGTGCCGAAATTGATGAGGCGTTTGAAGGAGAGAATCAAGACAAGGAAAGCCAGGAAAGTGGTTAGAATGAGAGGAAGAAGGGGTTGCCGACCACCTGGTGGTGAGTGGAGGAAGATCCAGAGAAAGAAATCCGTGAGTGGAACTTGCCGGTGCTTGTCGGCGACGAGCGCTTGCAGCGAGTCATGTAGTACGAGATCCGGTGTAAAGAGCTACTGGAGAAATCCGGGAAAGGTCGGGGCCAGTTGGACATGGAGTGGGAAGAGTCTTGGACAAGTGCTGTCCCAGAATCCCAGAACGAAACAGTATTCCTTGTCCTTCAGTGTGTGGCGGGACTCGTTGCTTTGCTTGGCAAGAGCATGCAAGAGCAATGGACACACACTTCAAAAACAAGTCAAGCACCAAGATGAACAGCAAAGGATGAATATCATTGAGAAACATGAGGAATCAACTGCCAGTGCTTTGTATTAAGTGCACCATGAGGAGAAGCATTTCACAAGATCGAAGTGCATGGCAACATCCATGCTTTGCAGACAGAGATGCTGAACTCTGCCAGTGTGCATGCTCAAATCACTGCCAGCTGGTCGAAGGCTTGCAAAGAGGAACAGATTGTGCCCCTCTCTCCACGCGCTCCTCCAGAAGCAAGTTGTCTCAAAGATTGCATGGCCTGCGTCTTGCCGTGTTTTGCTTGCAGGCCATTCAAATGTCCAAGCATGCCAAACTGTCCGACCTGTTGTGAGCTATCCCACTTTTGTGGTTGCTGTCAGCCAAAAGCCCATTCTTCAGTTAGAGAAATCCAAGACAGACCGCCACGGGGATGGCTGGAGTGAGAATGTCATCTACAAGTCCAAAGCAATTAACACATTGGAGGCCCATGAGAAGCCCACAAAAACAGAGCCAAGTAGCCTTCTTTCCAAGCATGCCTCCCTTGCGAAGATAAGCTGACCACTTCTACTGCTTGGATCGACCCTGGCCATTCAGTGCGGCAAGGCCAAGTTTGTGTCAGAGTTGAGTGCTGTAGCGAACCCTCGGCAAGCCCAACGACGCTACGAAGGCTAATACTGGCCACCGACTCCCTAGCCAGCTATCTCACCTCTACTAGCGGCCTACCCGGCTAAAAAGTAAAAACATTGGAAGGCCGCAAATGCCTTGTTTTTTGGAACTAAATATTCTTTTCGAGGCAAGATCTCCCGAGCACTTTGTGGACCTTAGCGGCTGCCTTTCGCGATGCACCGCCGCTGGTTGCCTTGGCCGAGATCGTTCGCAGATTTGATGTGGGTTTGTTCCCGGACGCACTCTGTTTATCGACTGCCAAGGGTGAGTAGCCCATTTTCAAGTGATGATGAAAAGCGTGGTACAAGGCGGTCGCCCGCTAAGGGCATGCCTTCGCGTAACTCTCCTGCAAGGTCAACCAAAGAGAAACATTGTAGTATGTAGACTAGCGGTACGAAGACCCTAGCAAACAACCAAGCATGGAAGACAAGGTCCAACGGGCGGTGACAGAGCACCCCAGGGCACAAAGAAACCAAAGCAGTACAGGCTAAAAGGGAAGAAGAATACAGAAAGGGAGAAGCAAAAAGAAAAATCATCCTTGAGGGGGGGAGGGTGAGCACAGCCAAACCACACCCTCATCCCAAACCACAACAAGGGGTGAATTGCATGTTCCCACCAGCGACCAGAAAGGTGTTCCTTTCTTGGCCAGACCGCAAGGAACTTGAAGTCTTGAAGTTGACCCACCTCACATTGGTTTATTCTATATAGTCACTATCCCATGGCCCGCGTAATGTTGGTCATTTGGGCCACATGACAATTCCCATGTTTACAGTTCATGGTTATTTTGGGTTCATTTCACCTCCCGTGTTTCGGTGCTTTTGTCTGAGGCTTTCAGCAGCTGTCGCCACGGCAGACGCATGCGGAGTGGCCGATCGAAGCGGCCCAAAGAGGCGAGACATGGGTGGGGAGGCTGGGTGGTGATGGTGGGAGGCTGGGTGATGGTGGTGATGGTGGGTGACAATACACCGATATATATTAGGATATGTTTTGTCCATGGAATTCTGTAGTGTCCTTTCGCAGGCGCAGCTCGCATGGCGGAACCTGGCAAACCTCATTTGAGCTCTAGGTGACATCGCCCTGCGGCAGGAACCCTGGCTGGTAGCAGTGGGTCAGGAGGCGGGGAAAAAGTGAAGCGACGTCCATCCCACATCCATCCACCTAACAGGGGGCGTGTTATTTTGACGAGTTTGGTCTATTTTGTGTTGGGATCTACAGATATCTAGATAGAATATGTTGGAGTATGATCCATATACACATCAACAGTAGCATGTTCGCCAATTCCGCTGGTTTCCGCACGATGCAAAGAAAACCACTTTGTGCATGGTTGTTCCCCAAACAAACTTAGACACATGACGCGGTACCTCAGAAGATTCTCTACCAAATGTCATAAATTGATTCGGATTGTTTTCTTTCAGAATGAAACTGTCAAAAAGCAACACACTACGCAGAGACACTTTGGAAGTTCGTTCTTTTGGTTTACTTCGGAACAAACTTCTTTGCATGAAACAAGCACACAAAATGCTTTGCAAACAAGTTTGAACACTGCCTCTACAATCGAAGCAATGCAAAAAAGATCAAGCAGTCAAGTTTGGGTTGTCGGATAACCAGAATCTATCTCACCTTGCACCCGTTGTAGCTCCTGCGTGCCACAGCACTTTGAGGAGCAGCTTTTACAAACATAGCGCATGAGAGGGCCCTGATACTGTAGCTTGAAAAAAGTGACATGTCCTCTAAACAAAGTCATAACAAATTCATAACTGATCGCAGGAACTTTGTAGATACCTTGGAACAGTTTCTCCTCCAAGTGATCAGCGAGCCTGTTCGGACCTCGGTTAACTCGAAGGGCAGTTTCACCACGCAGGTCCGAGAGGGCTCGTGGCACTGAGATGAAGGACATAGGAGATCAAGGTCTGCTGACCCAAACATGGGGAGAACAGTAGAAACCGAGTATGCGGCTTAGAGACAATTGGCTTGTTTGATGCTGAGCTACAGAAAGATGAAAGACGTCCTGCGTCCTATGTGGATCTGTGTGGGATGTGAGAAAAAAGTGTTTGGCCCATGCAGTACTTGTTCTGTGCAACGACATGTTGCTAAGGCATCCAAACATCTCCAAACAGCACATGAGCAACATCTCTTTTTTTGAACAGCACCTCAGAGTTGCATCTTGGAAAGTTGTTGTAGTCTTCAGGTTGCAACATATTAAATTCAAGCTTCTTGATTGATGTTTGCCTTGCAGGGTTTCGGCTAGTACGCGTACTAGTTCTTTGCGAGTGCGGGGCGGTAGAAATGGCAGCTGAGATGACGTCAATCTGGTCATTCCTGCAGTGATTCAATCTCACAAACAACTCTCCAGTGTCAGCATTGCTTCATTGCCTAATTGTCATCGCCTTGGAAACAACCACTTGACCAATATTTTTTGTTGGTACCTGCACACATTCCTAAACCTAGAAGTGTTGGTGGGAATATGATGGAATATGTGTTTTTCTTATGTCCAAGCCAGCATCACTGTGGCTGCATCAAAACACAAAAAAGCTTTGAGAACTGAATTGAACTGAAGAGAAAGAAAACGTGCGAAGACCGATGTGATGAGTGGCAGTGATGAAGAAGGTGGGGAGTTTTCTTTTTTCCGGATGAATTTCCGGACACTGGGAGTTTGACCGTTGACACCCCTGGCACAGATTGAGTTGGTCCCCCAATTCGCACCTATTTGTTGAGGAATCTTTGCATGTAAAGCATCTATGTTTTGTTATCTTAGTGTGCCTGACCGTCAACATGCTTGAAGAATCTCAATAATTAATATCCACTCTGAGGAAAGCAATCCGCAACTGGTTGCCGGTGTTTTCTGCTATGGCCCAGGGTTTTGCGTGAGTATTTGGATACAAGAAATGTCGATCTACCATCAACGCACGTATGTAATTCTATAATTCCTAATTATATAGTCAGCCTTTATAGTTTATAGGTATATATGTGTTGTGACTTTTTTGGGGGGAAATCTTCCACTCAGACTTGCATTTTCCAGACCGCCACACTTGCAGCCATTTGTGGGAAGCCAGCAAGTCACAATACTTGAATGACTGAGCCAGCTCTGTTTGGTAGTTGTTCTAATATGGGTCAATGAATCAATGAACATGACACAAGTCCCATCAAGTCCCTAGTAGCGTCCTTGCTCCTAGTAGCGATGCCCTTTGTTCCTAGTAGCGATGCCAGGAGCCCCTAGTAGCGTCCTTGCTACTACAGTAGGAGTCGGTTGAACCACCTGCCATGCCGGATCCAGTCGCCTCGCTCGCCTCGCTTGGCTCGGCTGTCGGTCGAGTCGGCGCCACGAGATGCCACGCAGGTGATGTGACGCCGCGCCATCGGCCGACCGAGGCAGGGCGGTGCCGGACCAGGTGCGGAGAATGCGGTGAAGAAGTAGGACACATATCTTTCCAGATGAGGTCAACATAAACCATCTCAACTTGCAAGGTGAAACAAAGAGTCGTTTGATCTTCGTTCTATCCAGCTTCGGTAGACCATGGTAGACCAATCTCATGTCAAACATGGTCATGGCATGAATGGAGTAATGACAAGACCGGATTAATAACCCCCCCCCCACATGGTAGGTCAACAAGGTCAACAAGGAATGAGATAACCACTCATGAGGTAGTAGTAGTAGCAGTAGTAGTAGTAGCAGCAGTAGCAAGTATAATGTCAAGTCAGGATAAATAAACCTCCACTAGTTAACCCCTTATTAAAAGTACTATTACTTTTTTTGGATTGTGTAGGCTCGGATTAACTGGGGGGGGTTGTTGGTAGACAATTAGACAATAGGGGGGGGGAAATCAACAGCGAATAATACTTTTAATTTGGGCAATTTCCGGCGGCTTTGTGGGCTCGGATTAACTAGGGGAGGTTTATTAATCCTAACTTTACATTATATTGGAGCGGTTCCGGTGATAGGAGTATAGGCCCAGACTCCCAGACATGAAGAAGTCCGCCACGTTATTCTTGTCGAGTGAGTTGCTCACTGTGAGTGGCTAAGCTCTGAAGACTCTCAAAAGCTTTTTGTAGGTCAGGACCGACCCTGACACAGACCTTAACGTAGAGAAGTGAAGGTCCTGTCTCACGTCTCATGTCAGGTGACCTCCAACTGTTGAGGTTCAGTCTTATCTTCTGGAAGCGTGGCGTTTTAGACAAGACCAAGGGGCACCACTTTGCTCCGCCAAAACTTGGCTCTATTGACTGAGTCCTCTATTGCCACTGGCTCTTTTTTTACATTGAATGGATCTAGGCTAAAAGTCTGGGTAGCGACTCCGGTCCAACTGCTAACAACATTCGTTCAAGCATAACCAGGGGTGTTACAGTGTTCTGTGCAAACTTTATGCAAATACTATAGACTACGGATAATATATACTGCAATGCTGACGATTGACGATGTTCAAGAACTGCCGGGCTGTTTGATGCCCGGCTGGATCATAAAAGCGGTGAAAGAAATCAAAGGCGTTGTCAGTCAGCAAACAGCAAACATAGACATCGATGTCACTATCCAGGGCGGTTGTTCTTCAATAGGGCTTTGTACAGCCAGATATACACGGCTATGAACCTTCGAGATCAACTTTGGAGTTTTTTGATTTGGTATTCCTGGACCACTACAGCACAGAACTTAATAATCAATATTCATTAATCTATATATATTATATAATTGCTGTGCGCATTGATGGTACCGGTATGGAGTATCTCAGCCTCAACATGAGAACATTGAACCGTACTACCTTGCTAAAAAAGAGTCAGCCCAAAGTCTTGCTAGACACCTAGCTTATCATAATCAACTTGAATAAGCTTGAAAGTTGTCCTTTACCATTTCCGCACCCGAAAGAAAGGGCCTTTTCCCGGCTCCCCACCGGGTCACCGCCAGGCCTCCAGCCCGGAGCGTACGCCGGGCCGGAGCCCAGAAGGCCATGTCTCACAGCTCCTGCACGAGGCGGCGCGAAGCGAAGTGGTGAGGACTCGGTGAGGGCGAAGCGAATCCGACTCCCGTGAATGCTTTTGGCCCCAAGGCTTTTGCCTGGCTCTGCAGTTCTGAGAAACGAGAAGAAATTGCAGAAGGCGCTCTGAGAGGGCTAATCTTCTAGAAGGTCCTATAGAGTGGCACAACTAGGCAAATCATGACGCTTCACTTCTTGAGTGAATTGGTAGTCCTGCACCAATTCAGCCATGCCTTCTAGATCTGCCTCCCGTGAAGAGCACGAGTTCAAGAAAGGTGTATCTGTGGTGCTCTTCCGCCAGAATCCCCTCGGCCTGGGCCAGAATGCTTATAAAGAGCTGGCGCTGCTGGCAGACAACTTCCGGGAGAAGTACATGCTTTATGGAAAGCGGACGAGCAAGCATTTCTCGAGACACTACGCGCTGGACCCGAAATTCCTTGGGCGCATCGAGCAGCACCTAGGAAGCACTCGTCAGACCATCCACGCGCCACCGAAGAAGGCGGACGCTCCCGGTTGGAAGATCGTGGTGAAGTTCCGGAAGTTTCTCGAGAAGTTTCCAGGTGTCGCATCGTTCCAAAGCTCGGTGTTCCAAACTTGCTGTCTACATACATCATGCATCTCCTTATGATCCTGAAACCCTGTTCTTTCGCTCCCAAACAAGGCTTTTGAATGCTTTTGACGCTCTCAGGTGAGCGGAATTTGGCGATCATTAAGCACTACAAATCCGGCAAGGACTGCATGGGCGAGCACAGTGACGCCGCCTCGATCGCCCACATGCCGGTGGCCAGCCTGTCCGCAGGCGCCGCGCGGCGGATCATCTTTCGAGCTAATGCGGAAGGCAAGCGGCGTGGCGTCAGGATGAAGCCCTTGAAGCTTTGGATGGAACATGGCGATGTGCTGGTCATGGTCGGGAAAGAGTTCCAAAGTCTTATGACACATGAGCTGCCCAGGGACGAAGGAGTGAAGTCTGGACGAGTGGGAGTTGTTCTAAGGGCTCGGGAGCTGGTGCCTGAGGCGAGTTCGACGTTTCCACGCAAGCGGCAGCGAGCTGTGAGCACGGACAAGAGCGGACGGCGGAAGGGGAACAAAAGTCAGGCAGCTTCTCAATGAGGCCTTCCAGATTCCGGTGAAATGCACACCATTAAAAAAAGAAATCATAAAGCTTATACCCCAGCATAAAGTCAACTGCACTGGGTAAGACAATCCTTGCCCAACTCTTTTCAGTGCTTTGGGCCGTACTTCTATTCAGGTATATGAGGGTCCATTGGTGTCCCATTTGTGCCAACCATCCTCCTGACTGGGTCGACCCGCTGCGGAGCGGTCACGGAGCGCCGCGGCGCGCTTCTCGCGTCGCGCGAGGCTGAGGAGCGATCGCAGCGGCGAGCGGCCGCCATACGGGATGTGCTCCAGAGTATCAGGTGTGCGGTGCAGAGCAGTGCGAAGTGGTGCGAAGCTGGTTTGGTGCCTATAGGACATGTTGAGGTGATTTTTGTTGAGGTGGAGATGGTGGAAGAGTGTACTTGTTCGGCCTTTAAAGAGGCCTTTTGAGGAGGAGAAGTTTGTTTTCTCATGTGCAGATGTATTTGATGTGCATCCTCAAGAACTGAAAGCGGAAGTGCGCTGGGAATTATACCTCAAGGCCATTCAAGGGCTGCAGGCTTTGTTGGACACCGTTTGAATTGTGTCCACAGATGTCCACAGTATCTCAGGGAAAATGGGCTTTGCGTTTAGTATCCGGACCTGGTACACCACGCTCGCAGGATTGCTCCAACACCCCGCCTTCCTGGAAGGCGAGCAGACGTAGTGCGGAAAGCAACACGTGAAACAATCAAGAGTCAGGGGAGAGATCAGGCGTGCATGGTGCCCAGAACATAGATTAAACAATATAGAGTATAATATATTTAACTAAATACTTATGCCTCGCAAAAATGCAGCAATGGACACTGTGTCGTTCTCCATTTGGGGACTAGTCCGATCGCGGTATTGAAAGGGTCTCCCCAAGGTGTATCATTCATTGGACCTCGCAATGCAGAAGGAGTGTTGTGCTTCACAAAAAGGGTTAGTCACGACATGAATTGACACACTACAAACCAAAAATAGAAAAAACAAAGAATCACAAATATATGGCCACCTTACTCAACCCCCTTTTCTCAGACTTGCGTTGTGTTACTATGTGTTACTGTACCCGCTCCGCTCCAGGCCGGACGTCCAGGAGGCGCATGAATTTCAGGGGTGCCCGTGGCTGTGACTCGGGCAAAGAGCCGCAAGCAATGAGATGGACCAATGCATCTTTGGGTGGTCTCTTTCTTCCTCTACTAGTAGCGATGGCCTCCAACCTAGTAGACTTCAAGCGGATCCGATCTTCAAGTGGAAAGCAGTCCCAGGAGGCCTGGGCTGCAAACACTGCCAGCGACGCGAGAGCTCTGGCTGCAATCTGTTGGGCGAAAGTCGTTGGTTCGGCGGATGCTTCGGTTGAAGAGCTAGGTGTCTCATTGGCATGCAAAACCTCATGTAGACTCTTGATTAATAACCCTCCCATCCCCCCATATCAAGAAGACAAGGTTTAGAATGGTTTACAGTGACTTCAAAGAGGGGTTTATTCATCAAGAGTTTACATGAAGAACCTCCAAACCTTGGTTCACCTCCCTCATGGGACCATGTAGTCCTTTGTGCCCTTGACACATCGAAACAGCAAAAGCGACGCTAGGTTTGGACCCTACAAATGGTGACTGTCTTCCCATGGTGACTGTGAGTGACATTCCCTCCAAAAAGAAGCGAGCGGAGGTTTGACCGTTGAGCGATGTCCAGATTGAAGAAACCAGGAGACCCGAGGTTCGACCAGGGTTTTTTCCCGAATGCGTAGCGAAGGGTTCCCGTTTATAGTTGGGGGTCTGGGGGTTGGAGCTGTGTTCGCGTGGCTTGCGTCGTGTCGTCGTCTCTCGTCGTCTGTCGTCGTCTCTGGTCGTTTGTCGTCGTCGTCGCGTCTCAAATTTGCTGCCATTGGGGGAAGCTTTTGCAAGGGACTTTGCATGGACGTGTCACGTGTCAGTTTGCGTCGCTATTCCATTGTGATTTGCATGACACCGACATGTCGCGCAAGAAACGTGATGCATTTCGCTGCACAGGCGCAGCGTTTTGTGAGATCCGCAGTTTGCTGCGCAGTGCCATTAGGATTAGCGTTTGGAGAGTCGTGTTTTTGGGGTGTTGGATGTGGCCGTGCCATTGGGATTTGCGTTTCAGGGTGTGGCATCGAAGCTCTGTTTTCGTGACAAGTCTCAGCTGAAATGGCGATTTTGGTGGATGGGAGTGTGCTCTGAACGGGTCGAAATCATGCCAGTGCCATTGGGATTAGCGTTGGGAGAGTCGTGTTTTTGGGGTGTTGGATGTGGCCGTGCCATTGGGATTTGCGTTGCAGGGTGTGGCATCGAAGCTCTGTTTTCGTGACAAGTCTCAGCTGAA